GTTACTCAGGGACAGACACAAAATTGTTACTCAGGGACACAGAATTGTTACTCAGGGACAGACACAGAATTGTTACTGAGGGACACAGAATCGTTACTCAGGGACACAGAATTGTTACTCAGGGACACAGAATTGTTACTCAGGGACACAGAATTGTTACTGAGGGACACAGAATCGTTACTCAGGGACACAGAATCGTTACTGAGGGACACAGAATCGTTACTGGGGACACAGAATCGTTACTCAGGGACACAGAATCGTTACTGAGGGACACAGAATCGTTACTCAGGGGACACAGAATCGTTACTCAGGGACACAGAATTGTTACTCAGGGACAGACACAGAATTGTTACTCAGGGACACAGAATTGTTACTCAGGGACACAGAATCGTTACTCAGGGACACAGAATTGTACTCAGGGACACAGAATTGTTACTCAGGGACACAGAATCGTTACTCAGGGGACACAGAATTGTTACTCAGGGACACAGAATTGTTACTCAGGGACACAGAATTGTTACTCAGGGACAGACACAGAATTGTTACTCAGGGACACAGAATCGTTACTCAGGGACACAGAATCGTTACTCAGGGACACACAATTGTTACTCAGGGACACAGAATTGATACTCAGGGACACAGAATCGTTACTCAGGGACACAGAATCGTTACTCAGGGACACAGAATCGTTACTCAGGGACACAGAATTGTTACTCAGGGACACAGAATTGACACACAGAATCGTTATACTCAGGGACACAGAATTGTTACTGAGGGACACAGAATCGTTACTGAGGGACACAGAATCGTTACTCAGGGACACAGAATTGTTACTCAGGGACACAGAATTGTTACTCTGACTCGGGACACAGAATCGTTACTGAGGGACACAGAATCGTTACTGAGGGACACAGAATCGTTACTGAGGACACAGAATCGTTACTCAGGGACACAGAATCGTTACTCAGGGACACAGAATCGTTGAATTAAAGAGTATGTCAGACAACAACTGTCAGAGGAGTGGCAGAGGAGGCAATGTTTCAGGAGCGAGCAGACGTGGCAGCAGAGGAAGGGGTCGAGGCAGCACTAGTCGCAGCCAGAGGCCAGTGCTCCCGGTGTCATCCAGCGGTCGTGTCTCCACCGACAACCCTGGCCGTCCGTCATCAAAGATTGGTGGGTTGGCTCGGTCGTCTTCCTCTTCCCAGGTCACCTCTGACACCTACAGCCAACGGTCGGTGGGTACGTCAGACACAACCGTTAGTTTGGCATGGCCCGGGAGCAAGCCCACTGAAATCACGTGTCCTCTACCTGCCCCTGTCCTTTGGTGTTCCCTCACCAAGCGAAGTATCGCATGCTGTGGGCTCAGCCCCACTGTACAGTGAAGGAAGAGCTAACAGAGGGCGGTCAGGAACGGGGGGAGACATCCGCCTCTTCAGCAGCCAGGCAAAGAAGTACTGGCGAGGAGAGTGGCTCGGTAGCCGTCTAAAGACAGGTCTGTCTCCTGACCCACACGCAGCCGAGGGGGCTAGTAGTGAGGCGGAGACCCTAATTGATGATGATGAGACTGATCGCACTTGGCAGCCTTGTCGTCATCTGCCAGGCCCCGTAATCTGCCATGGGCCCCCGTACCGACTCCTCATGCTGCTGCCAGGCCCGTAATCTGTCATGGGCCCCTGTACCCCCCGCCGCCTCCTCATGCTGCTGCCAGGTCCAGAGTGTGTCATGGGTCCCTGTACGGCCTCCCATTGCTGCTGTCTCCATCGCCCACACTCTGCCATGTGCCACTTTCAGGTCTCCTCACACTGCTGGTGGGTTCCATTTTGTCATAGGGTGCTGGCAGATTACGGGCCTCCCATTGCTGCTGCCAGGCCCGTAATCTGCCATGGTGCCCCGTACCGACTCCTCATGTTCTGCTGCCAGGCCCGTAATCTGTCATGGGCCACCTGTACCGCCTCCTCATGCTGTCCATGGGCTGCCAGGTCCAGAGTGTGTCATGGGTCCCTGTACGGCCTCCCATTGCTGCTGTCTCCATCGCCACACTCTGCCATGTGCCACTTTCAGGTCTCCTCACACTGCTGGTGGGTTCCATTTTGTCATAGGGTGCTGGCAGATTACGGGCCTCCCATTGCTGCTGCCAGGCCCGTAATCTGCCATGGGCCCCCGTACCGACTCCTCATGCTGCTGCCAGGCCCGTAATCTGTCATGGGCCCCTGTACCGCCTCCTCATGCTGCTGCCAGGTCCATAGTGTGTCATGGGTCCCTGTACGGCCTCCCATTGCTTGTGCTGTCTCCATCGCCACACTCTGCCATGTGCCACTTTCAGGTCTCCTCACACTGCCTGGGTGGGTTCCATTTTGTCATAGGGTCGCTGGCAGATTACGGGCCTCCCATTGCTGCTGCCAGGCCCGTAATCTCCATGGGCCCCCGTACCGACTCCTCATGCTGCTGCCAGGCCCGTAATCTGTCATGGGCCCCTGTAACGCCTCCTCATGCTGCTGCCAGGTCCAGAGTGTGTCATGGGTCCCTGTACGGCCTCCCATTGCTGCTGCCAGGCCCATAATCTGCCATGGGCCCCCGTACCGACTCCTCATGCTGCTGCCAGGCCCGTTAATCTGTCATGGGCCCCTGTACCGCCTCCTCATGCTGCTGCCAGGTCCAGAGTGTGTCATGGGTCCCTGTACGGCCTCCCATTGCTGTGTCTCCATCGCCACACTCTGCCATGTGCCACTTTCAGGTCGGTCCTCACACTGCTGGTGGGTTCCATTTTGTCATAGGGGTGCTGTAAGTGGCCTCCTCATTGCTGCTGCCAGGCCCGTAATCTGCCATGGGCCCCCCTAACCGACTCCTCATGCTGCTGCCAGGCCTGTAATCTGTCATGGGCCCCTGTATCGCCTCCTCATGCTGCTGCCAGGTCCAGAGTGTGTCATGGGTCCCTGTACGGCCTCCCATTGCTGCTGTCTCCATCGCCACACTCTGCCATGTGCCACTTTCAGGTCTCCTCACACTGCTGGTGGTGTTCCATTTTTTCATAGGGTGCTGTATGGCCTCCCATTGCTGCTGCCTCCACCGCCACACTGTGGCTCCACACTCTGGTTTTGGCCCCGTGACTGCCCAAATGAGTGAAGTGTGCGGTGATTCTAAGATCGACGGCACTCATCTGCATGTCATACTGACTGACAGTATTAAGTTATGATCTGATTGATAAAGCATATGAAAGTGGAATTATTTCCAAAGATTTGTGCTAATTAATTCACACAAAATAGCCTAAAGTTCCCACCTTCTATAGCTTACCTAAAATACTTAAAAATCCTACCTGTCCTATGTTACGACCAATTGTTTCTGGTAATGGCATATTAACTGAAAACGTAAGCAGAGTCAATGATGCCCACTTGCAGCCTCGTTTGTCATCCTTTTTTTGCAAATTATACAGAAATTTTATATTTCTGATAACTCCTTCTTGGTAACCATTGATGTGGAGGCCCTCTACAGCTCCATCCCCCACCAACAGGGTTTGGAGGCTGTATGGAGAGACCCGCTAAGGACTGGGCCTTTAACCACTTGCCTACCAGGCACTTTTACCCCTTTCCTGCCCAGGCCAATTTTAAGCTTTCAGTGCTGTCGCACTTTGACAATTGCGCGGTCATGTACCCAAACTAAATTTTTATCATTTTTTTGAGAGAGATAGAGCTTTTTTTTGGTGGTATTTGATCACCACTGGGTTAATCATTTTTTGCTAAACAAACTAAAAAAGACTGAAGAGAATGCCCGACATGTTTCGTGATGACAGTCGCTTCCTCAGGGGCTAATTATATATCTAAAAGAGATATATATACTTAGACAAACAGAAAATCATGAACAGCAAACACAATTAAGCATTGTCAAATTGTTAAAGAGTTCAACACTTACAAAATAGACCATTATGCACCAGACAGCAGTGGACCCTTTAATCACACAGGGGAAAGCCTCCTCTGAATCCAAGGGGGGGGGGGGAAGACACTCCAGGGGTCAGATATGGGTTGCAAAGACCGCAGCAGGCTGGAAACCCAGGGAAACCCCAAGAGACTTGGTTCCCAATATAAATGGCAAAAGTTTGAAAGCCAATAAGGGCCTAGAAAGAAATATATGTACAGGCTAAGGATACCGCTTTCTACTCAGTAATGTTAATACATAGAAACTAACTTCCTACGTAGTATTTCACCCTATAATATAGTAGATACGTGTAAGAATATACGCGTATCTACTATGCTATAGAGTAAAATACTACCTAGGAAGTTAGTTTCTATGTATTAATATTACTGAGTAGAAAATAAGATTTCCGCCCTGCTGCGGTCTTTGCACCCTAATATCTGACTCCTGGAGTGTCTTCCCCCCACCTTGGATTCAAAGGAATAAGTGTATGTATCTCTTTTAGATATATAATTAGCCCCTGAGGAAGCAACTGTCATCGTGAAACATGTTTGGGCATTCTCTTCAGTCTTTGAATGTTCCTTGCCCACCACAGGATTACTTTTGGTGGTACGTCTAAACTGTATCACTAGTTGTCATCCTTTTAAATATATGGTGGGCTTTGGGACATTCATTGCGGGTATAACAATATTTTATCCAAAATTGACTATATGTGATGTTAAATTATAAATATTGTAAACCATTATTATACTATATTATAATAATTATTATAAATAGTATATACCAGGACGTGGCACTGTTGTATCTATTGGGTGTGACCTATATCACCCGAGGGTTACCCCATATCCTTTTCATCATAAAAAAGACAGAATTTTGGGGAAAAAAAGTTTTTTCTTAGTTTCTGTTATATAATTTTGTAAATAGGTAATTTTTCTCCTTCACTGATGTGCGCTAATAAAGCTGCAATGATGGGCACTGATAGGCGGCACTGATGAGGAGGCACTGATAGGTGACATTGATAGGCATTGACAGGCATCACTTGTAAGCATTGACAGGCATCACTGATGGACACTGAAAGGCAGCACTCATATATGGCACTGATAGGCAGCACTGATGGGCACTGATAGGTGGCACGGATTGGCAGCACTGATAAGTGGCACTGAAAGGCAGCTCTGATGGGCACTGATATGTGGCATTGATGTGCACTGGTAGGCACTGATGTGTGGCATTGATGTGCACTGATAGGCACTGGTATGTGGCATTGATGGGCAATTATAGGTGGCATTGATGGGCACTGACAGGTGGCATTGATGGGCACTGACAGGTGGCACTGCTGGGGCTACACTGAGCATCAGGGCACTGATCATTAGTGCCCTGATGATCAGTGTAGATGACCCCTGAGGAATGTCGATTACCTGCTCTCCTCTCCTCACACGCTGTCAGCATGAGGAGAGGACTACAGATAACTGGCATTTCCTATTTACATGTGATCAGCTGTGATTGGACACAGGTGATCACATGACAGAGCCTACATCATCGGCTCTTTACTCTGATCGGTGATGCACTGTGTCCTAGGGACACAGAGCGCCACCAATCGCCACGTGCCCCTGGGGGCGCGCATGTGCATTTAGACTGGGGGGACATCATATGACGTCCACCCAGAATGAGAGAACCGCCACTCGCCCATCATTTCCTTATATGGCAGGTGGGAGGCAGTTAATTAAATTTGTGTGGTTTGGACCACATATTGAATCACAATTTCTTTTTGTTCAATGATTCCCACTACCTCCAGGTACAGGGCGCAGCGATGGGGACATGTTGTGCTCCATCCTACGCCAATCTATACCTGATGGTAATGCACATTCCTCTCAGATGAGGGCATAGGCACAGGTGTATTGATGATGTATTCCTGGTCTGGGAGAGACTTGAAGATATTCTTCTTGAATGTCTTGCAAGGATGAATGACAACAGTCACATTCTAAAATTCACCATGTTATATGATCATAATAGTGTCACATTTTTGGATGTACCAATTTAGTGAGGACCTAATGGAAACATTTTCAGTACATTGTTCCATAAAAGTACAGCAGGAAACGCCATACTACATGTTTCTAGCTTTCACCGGGCACCTTTAAAAAATTCCATCCCATATAGCCAATATCTTAGGCTACGTAGAAATTGCTCCAATGATACCCTCTTTAAAGAAGAAGCTAGGAACTTACAATCAAGATGTTTACATAGGGAATATAGTAGAACATGCCTGCTGAAGGCATATAATAGAGCAATAAAACAGCCACATCACAACCTGTTAAAAAAAAAAATTGAAAGGACAAATTGATGCAGAACCCACAAGAGTAATTTTACAATATTCAAATTAGCATACATATATAAAACAAATTCTTGACAGCTACTGGCCGATGATCCCATAGTAAAAGCATTTGTCAATTCTACTCTGTCCATATCCTTCAAAAGAGCGAGCTCACGAAAGGACAAATTAGTCCAAAGTGAGTTCAAAGGAGAATCGACCAGGAACCATTGCACCATCAAGGGGACCCACCTGTGTGGGCATTGCTCCCATTGTCCTCTGTTGAATAGAAGAAAAATCTTCATCCTCCCAAATGGTGACAAAATTATACTGAAACACTTTGTGAATTGCCAAACAAAAGCATGTGGGAAAACTAAACAAGATGTAAAAACACATGTATAGAATGCAAGTTTGAAATAGGTATTTACCTATTGGAAGACATGCAGTCATTACACATAATTACAAAGTTCCAAAAGTTACTTTCACCGCCATGGATTAGGTTCATATACCGGCTTGAGGGGGTGATTGGAACAAAATCCGCCTCCAGTTAGAGCAAAAATGGATTTTTAGATTACAAGTTATGGTTTTTCCTGAGCTGAATAACTCAATTTCATATCACCTATTTCTAAAGGGGTTTTCTTCTGGTAAAACAAATTAAAACCTCTTAGTTACAGTGTGAAACACTTTATCCTCATGGAGCCTCGCAATAACGGTTAGGAACAGATTAAAAATATGCATAGTTATAATGTTTAGTGTATGTTATTTATTTGTTCCAGGCAAGCTCTATTATATGTAGAGAAAGCTGTTATATATAATTTTCTTTGTACATATTTGTTCTGACTACAATTGTGATAATTATATTATTTTTTGTTTTCAGGTCATTTTTCTTGGTCACTGGATTCCTGTTTGGATTTTGGTCCTTCATTTTGGCCTTTTGGTCTTTGGCCACAGAGGGGAGCCCCACCACGTTGGCTGTATTCTGTGTCACCTTCCAGGCAACACCGTCATTATGCCATTACATGTGCCTGTGATATAATTTGCAGCAGAAATGCCAGTGGCTGCCGGAGGAAGTCTTTCCCTCCAAGAATTCCGGGGAGGCAATGCCATTAAGTGCATGGCCCACTCTGGAGCCAGTATGTGGATTAGATGGGGTGGTTGGCGAACCTGTGGGTGGACTATGTGTGACCTGTGGTCAATTAAAGGGGCAGTAGATTCTTTGAAATATAAGTGGCATTGTTGTCCAGTGGACTCTATTCCTTTGGCTGCAAGGACTGGGCATAGGAATCCATGATGCCAGAATTAGCAGTCAGTGTAAGTAACAATCTAACTGATCCCACACCACTGTTGATATTCAATTAGGAGTTTTTTCACCACATAACTTTCTTTTTCCTTTTTTCTTTTTGATATTATATTTTTAGGCCTCTCAATGGGATTTTACTCAGAGAGGTATAAACTGTATATGTGAATTTTGAACATAGAGGCTGGGAATTCCCTTTCCTTTGGATACTCCTGTGAATTGATGACTGCTTTTTCAAAAAGAGGTAATCAAATTATAATTTTAAATATATTGATTTCCCAGTATTGAGCCAATTTAGGTTTCTTTGTCATTTATTGATTTTTGTCTTTTGATTGGATGACTTTTGTATATATACATACATAGTTAGTTTGTAGTTACTGTGCCATTTTGGGCATATACCCCAGTGGAAGCGGTGGCAAAAACCTTACATGGTTAATATTTCTAAATTTAAATACAGATTTGTTATTCATAAGCCATATGCCTGTGCATTTTTAAAAATTGTATTTCTTGTCCTTTCCAACATTTTACATTAGGACCTCTACACGGTTCATTATAGGTATGTGATTTGATATACATATATGCATGGCCTCTTGGGGGTCCCAGGTTATGTGTTCTTCCTTCCTGGTGGTCCTGTTAGCCGAGGAAAACTCTTGGAACTTTTAAACTGCTCTGGTCTTTTGTGCATTCTTCTCACCCTGCTAGAAGGTAATTATACTTGAATATGCACAGCAATGTATAATGATTCTATGTAATGACTGTATCCTGGGTAACATTCTAATTTTATCTATTTTCAATTTAGATGTCCTAAATCCCTGATCAAGAGTGTGATTCTTACAATTGAAAAGCGTTGGGGTCATTCCTGGCAGTACTACTATTTGGAAATTCCTTTGTATACCATAATAATTATCTGCCAGTATTCAGGATATCACTAGCTTGATATGTGGGATGTATTTATACCAGAGCTCATATTTTAAAATCATATGTTTTTAACTTTTTGGTAACAATAAAAAACATTTCTAAACTCTATGATATTTAGTTAGTGTGTTTGACATATATTTTAGAGAGCTGCAATGAAGCTCTTGAGAGAAATTGATCTTTTTCGTATGATCCTTGCAACTTTCCACATCCCTATGTCCCAAAGCCTATAGACAAGACAAGTGTTAGCCTGGGTTCACATACGTGCGGTGCGGTATATCACATGTGATTCGCACAGTAACTGCACTGCATTCCTGTGCAAATCACATGCGATTTGTGTGCTGTGCGATCAGAGCATACATTTTGTAGGGTTCTATTCGCACCACACCCAAACCAAAAACCTACAGGACCCTTTTTTGGGTCCGCACCAGAATCGGATCACATAGGTATTCACACCTATGTGATCCGATTCTTCACATTGCACTGCATTCTGCGGACCACTTTCGGGGTGTTGTTATCTTAACATACACACCCGCAGCAGTTCGCATGAACGGGGTGCGATTCTGATGCGGTGCAGAATTCACACTGAAAACGCTGCAAATTCCGCACCGCACCGCAGTGTGAACCAGGGCTTACAGCTGCATTCTCACACAGAAAAATCCTAGGTAAAAAGACCATGTGCCAGGAAATACCTCAGATATTAAATAATTCTCCCAGCATGCACCAACAGGCCCCTATGCCTGTTGATTGGCTAATTATTAAATACACTGGAGTCATCTCACACGAGAGACTGAGATAAGACACGAACAAATACACAGCTAAGCTGACTAAAGCTCTCTACAAGTTCACAACAATACAAAAAGAGAATTTGGAAAAATACTACATCACTACACCCAAATCCTGCCAAAACCTTTTTCTAATTTTAGATAGATTGAAGAGTGGTTGGAACTTTTTCCAGGTTTTAAATTCTGTCTGAGTCTCTGTTGAGAACAATTTTTCTGTCAAATCTATATAATAGAGAACATCCCTCATTTCTATTCTGTCTGACACCAGACATATGTTTCTCATTTCTATTCTGTCTGACACCAGATATGTCTTTCAGATGTGTGTTAGAATAAGCAGTGGGGTAAATTTCCCTCAGAACAGACGGCAATAAAATTCTTACAATTATTTCATCAAACCATAGGTAACCCTTGTGAAGGATGTATGGTTTTATGTTGACCTCTGTTTGTCACCTTGAAATAGAGCCACCATGCTTTTAAGGTGTTGGTGTAATTTTTTTGCTGATATAGGACTTTAGCAAATCCTTCTGCAGAATCTACCTCTTTGTGTGCTGGTTTTCTCTTTATTGCCAACAATAAAATCCTAAATGACAGCCATCAAATACACAGGAAAATAGATATTTTTTCTCTCATTTCCTATTTTGTCCAACATCCGTCAAAAAGACAGCAAGAAACCTTTTTGAATGGATACAGGCCACATCAGAAAGTTGATCAAGGTGCTATCTGTCCCAAGTGTAACCTCAAAAGGTTTTTAATTATTAGATTTTCTTTACATTAGCCAGGTAAAAGCAGGTTGATTTATTTCAGGGGTGTATAAATCCTCCCACCCTTCATCAGGACTTAACAATTAAATGGCATTGTACTTCACGTGGCTGTAAATGTAAAAGTTTTTTTACCTTAACCACTCAAGCTCCAGGTTTTACCCCCTTTGTGTCCAGGAAGTTTTTTGCTATTTGGGACTGCACAAATTTAACTGGCAATTGCGCAGTCATGCAACACTACAGCTTTCTTTTGGTGGTATTTGGTCACTTCTGGGTTTTTAATTTTTTATTGCATAAACAAAAAAAGACTGAAAATTTTGGGGAAAAAACCCAATATTTTCTACTTGAAGGGGCTGACGCTGGCTGGGAAAGGGATAACATATGGACAATAAAAGGGTTAACTGTATGCCTACCAATGTGCAATGCGTGTACTATGTGCTGCTTTTACTAATAGATGTGGCTGTATTTTCTCCTTGCTTTACAGGAACAGGCAGACCTAAAGTGATTAATGC